CGAAATTTTTATGTATTTTATTTTATGTATTAGAAATTAAAAATATATTAAAAACTTAATAGGCTTCATTTGGAAGCTTTTATTTCTCTTACGTTTGTTTGCCAAGTTCCGCGAGTACTCCTAATTTCCTTTGGAAGAGTTTCCATGTTCGTTTTACTCGAAAAATCTCTCGAGCTTTATTTTTTTCGCTAATCTATCTTTAAAGTGTGCCAGGACTTTATCCCAAAAAAGACGAATGTTTCTCACACTGATTTAAAAACATTATTATTAAACATATACCATAATACAAACACGGTTACGATAATATAATGATACAGTTTTTGTCACGTACAATACGCGAACACTGTCTTAAAAACGTCATTTAAACATCGAAATAATTCGACGTCGACGTTAAGGCCAGGATACGAAATTCAATGTCATGAGAACGCGACATCTAGTTTTCACAACGACAAAAGTGTCGTGTAATAGTATGAAACTCATAATTTGCAGTCATATGAAAACGTTTCTGACTGTTTCCTGCATAAAAAGTTTAGAAAAAAAAAAAAAAGATGAATTGTAGATGATCTCTGAATTCGAGAAAGCAGCGACTGAAAACACCGGGCAGCGTCGCATGGAAATACGGCCTTAGCAAAGTGAGAGTCACTGTTAGACGACGTGACGTCACGCAAGGTCAACCGAACGTTTCAACGGGACTGAAGTTGATTCAGCATCTAACAATTTTCTTTCTATAAAATGCGCTTAAACGAACGCGCCACTCGCTCGGACTTCTCGTCTTTCGTCTTTTCTTTTTCCTTCTCTGCCTCTCTCTCTCTCTTAAGAGAAGCTACACGATCCCTACGACCTAATTTCCCTTCTCTACCTTTCCTGTGTTTTTCTCGGAGTTTCTGGGTCGTTTCTTTGAGAACGGTTTTCATTCTTCAGAAGGCTGTTTCTTCATCGATTGTTTCGCGTTCCGAGGGTTAATTGGCGATCCTTGGGCTGATAGATGTGAAACTGTAACTGTTTGGCTCTGGTTGAATTTGAAAATGGCGGGGAAGCAGTTAGTTTTTCGTCGATTACAGAAAAGTCACGTGATTTGTACACTTCTTTTTTTTGAAATTATCATTACATTTAAGTAGCATAATCTCCACGTAAGATTGGTATGTATTTGTTCGTAAATTTTGCGAATGGTTATGGAAAAAGAAATTTATCTAATTTAATAAATGCATCGTCAGACTGCATTGTAATTCTTTTTAATTAATATTTTTAGATTTTTGAATTGTAGCAATTTTTACGTTTACTTTTTCACATTGATAATATATTTTACACGTGTTCCTTCGGAATTAGCTATAAAAGTCGAGGAGTAGTTTCGCAGAAAATCTTGACTAGGTTGTACATTGAGTAATAGCTGAAGATAATGTGACAAATAGAGCAGGCTTAATCGGAAGAATAAATCACCATTAGAACGACAATATCCACTTGTGGGAAATGGCAATTAAGCGCTCAGAAGCCTCCCTTGTAGAACGTAGTAATGAATGCTAAAGGCAATTTATTTGAATAGTACAGGATAACTTAAATTCCGGTTTATCTCGGTATTTCTGTATACACCAAAGGTAAATAATTCACACGTATTCGTACTTTATATTTTTTTTTCTTGTCGTTGAAAAAGTAGGTATCTACTTTATGGAAGCGGTTAATAAAAATTGCTCTTCTTCGCTTCGAAGATGAAAAGTGACCGTAATAAATTGTCAGGCAATTGCGTAGTGCTCTTACGGTGTTCAGTACCGTGAAAAATTTCAGGTTTCCGGTAGGACCTTGAAAACGGGTCAGAATGTTACAGCGCAATATTCAATTACAGGAAAATAGCGATTGTACTAAATATTCCAAAGCTTCTTTTTTCCCTCTCTTCTCTCTCTCTCTCTCTCTCTCCTTTTTTCCTGTTTTATAGCAGAATCTTGATTATCCGAGCAACCATATGGGACAAGTTAGTAGTTCGATAATTGCATACTCGGCCGATTATCCATACAAAAAGCAGGAAGAATAATAAACCATGTACAATGTAAAACGAACTATAATGTAAATTTAGTTACGAAGAAGCGGTGATATTTCTTCTAATAATATTATTAAGGGAAATTAATATTATTGGTAATATTATTAAAAATTATTCTAAAATTAACCCTTTGGCTACATTTGACGTATCAGAACGTCATGCATTTTGGGCATAGTCGCACATGACGTTCTGATACGTCGTTGAAACTGAGACGAGATTTAAATGCGTATCTGTTGCAACAGAACAAATAATTTCAGTATTTTGGTGAACCTTGTTTGGGATACACAACCCCATAATGGCAGAAATAGAGAATATATTTGATCAAAGTGATAGCGACAGTTTTAACGAAAGTAGTGATCTTGAACAATCTGATGAAGAATTTTTTAATGATCCTTTAAGCGATAAAGGGGAATTTCAAAATGAAAATGATGAAGAATATATCGAACTTGAAAGTGATAACGATAGTGAAATTATTCCAAGACGTAAAAGACGTACAAGATGCTTATCAAGCAGTGATTGTGAAAAATTAGATGAATGGATTTGGGAAGAAAAAGAAAATGTTAAATGTTATTATAACCAGAGTTTATTTGTTTTAAGAGTATTTTGTAATACTAGCTGCCTAAAGTTACTTCAATATTATGTAGGAGTATATATAAAATTAATTCTTGCATAAAATCTACTGCTTTTACTTGCCCACAAAATTAAACGTGCTCCAAGTGCAAACAAATTTTCAAATAAACGTGTACCCAAAGGGTTAAGAGCTGGAGATGGACATTTTGAACATCGAACGTAAAAGACAGAGGTAAAGTCTGCTTTAAAACTTTTCATAATACCAAAACAAAGATATAGAATTCCATTTAAGAAAACACGAGATGGCCTTAGTATGACGTTGAAAAATTGAAATTCTACATAAAATATTATGGCAACAGTCTTCTTACATTTTTTGGTCAGTATGAATTGCAGATTCGATCGAAAATATGAACGCGCGGTTTATAAAAGGAAGACTCGTTTCACGGAAGAAATTTTCGATCCTGATTGATTTGTAAACTGGCAATAAACGTTTCAGCGGCGTAGTTTATCGTCGTTTCGTCATAGATCGTTTCTCCCTCGGCGTTTCTCGGACAAAAGTTTGGGA